TTTTTAAGTACTTAAAATTTAAATCATAAATCTAAATTATAAAACCGCACTCAATAATAAATTTGATCCTCAATGTTTATTACGCGAAGTATATGTGTACTTCACCCTGTATTCAGCGTAATAAATACAACATCATTTGAAGTCACGAACAAACAAATTAAATTTAAAAAATCTCAATGAAAACTCGCCCACACAGGACTCGAACACTATCTCAAAATTGTGAAACTTCAACTTCCTAGCGGTTTACCAGTTGGCCTGAAATTAAAATGCTATTTTACGGTCCTTGAATACTGTTCGGAAGGTTGCATAAACAAAAATTCTACAACTCTTGCATAAAAGAAAATCTAGAGTCTTGTAGATTTGTAGGAGATGAAAATCTTACATCAATTAAGTAATAGATTTTGAACTTCTTGTAAACTTATGTATATATAAATATACTCATTTGCTATAGATGGGTAGTCATTCAAGAATTATCTTGCCATCAATGTATATATAAATATGAGATGACTTTGTTGTTATTATAAATAAACTGGATTAGTTATGTACATTATAAGAATTGATGTTAAGGTCTAATATTGAGAATTTTATTTTAGTGATAATGAAGAAATATTTGAATTTAGATTAAACAATAAATTTATTCCCTTCCAATAAAAGTTTATGAATATAGTTGTGTGGAAAAATTTTATGAATAGATACAAGGTTAAATACCCTTTTTGGCCCCTCTATTATAGGAAAAAGTCTTTTTTTTTGTCCCTGTATCGAAAAAATCTCCTTTTTAATCCCTAAATTTTAAAATTCAGCCCATTTTTAGTCCTTCCGTTAATTTTTGCTCACATGGCATGTTAACTTAATTGGAACGGTTGATATGGATATGCCAACATGTCAAAGATGCTTACATGGACTTAATAACACCCTCCATGTCACCCTCTCCCGTGCGAAAAATTAAAAAAAAAGGGTTAAATACTAAATTTAATTCCTCAACTTTATAAGTTTGCACTTTTTTGGTCTTAAATTATTATTTTTTTCATTTTTTTATCTTTTAACTCTAAAAATTACACAATTTTAGTCCTTCCATCAGTTAAATATGACGTGATAGTTAAATAATTTCATTTGACAATTTTTTTAGTTTTTTTTAATGACATGACAATTATATATATAT